GAGCTCGTAAGTCACAAACAACCATCCAAGCTCCATAAAATTCCACAAATATTGAACTTCTTCATACATACTTATAAAAGTTTATCCAAACATCCTCCACATATCTTCTCAGAAAACTGATTAATAAACCCATATCTTTACTCACACATATTCCATGCATATAGATGCTTTGATGGTTATTTACTGATCTCCCAATTCTTAGGACCACATCTAATACCTCGATGAGCCACCCCAAGACCATGCATCTCCAAATCTGCTGAACCCACCCCACTGCTACAGGAGTCTTGGAACACTTGGAGATTGCACATATCAATGCAATAGGAGTGGAAACAAACCTTTTACTTAACACTTCTTTTGTATTGTAAATACTCATCACATGACTGTCTTCTTTACTTGCTGCTACCTAGTCAACAAGACGTTTTCTTATTTTTATGTTCTTGGCATGTATTACGTAGTTGTATTTTTCCCAGGGTGAGGTCATTAATTATACATTTACTTATTAGGTTAACTACACTTAACCGATGAGCTTTCTTCTCATTGCTCGTGTTTTCTACAATTAGAATTCTGTCAAGAGCATGATGAATCAACTATTATATAGCGCTCAGCTAGGCGATAATTTTAGGTCAAAGGCAGTTATTAATATAATGCCTGATTCAGTACTATAACGATGTAACCCTGCGATGTAGTACTGAACAACGTGAGTGGTGTAAGTATTGAAAACGTGTTTTTGGACCGTTATTTCGTTGGGTATATAGGACATATGCCAAAATCAACAAGCATAATAGGTGGATATATAATTCTCGTATTTGACCCTCCTTTTGTATCAAGCTACAGCATTAATCATCAATATTCAGAGAGAGTGGGGTTGTAAACTGTTGCGCTAAGACTTTGTATCTTGCTCCACCTAAATTGACGCAGTAATATTATTGATTGTATGATATTTGGTCTTTTATCCAGACGAATTACTGAAGTAGATGATTCAAAGCATGCTAGAGCAAAACGCATGCATGTTTTAGGAAGTTCTGTTCCCACAGATTGGGGGACCAAGAAAAACAACTTATAGCTGTCCCCTATTGGCACTGGCTATAATACAGAGGAATGTGGTTTCAGGGACACCTCTCCCCAATAACCATCTAGGTCATAGAGTCTTGTATAATCCACGAAGTGTTACAAGTCGCTCTATTTCTTTTAAATTATAAGTCCCATGGAGTTAGGTGTACCATTAGATGCAAGTCCTCTTTCATTATTCTCCTAGCACACATTCCTCCCATGATACTTTTTAAACTTATCTCTATTAATTTTATAATATCTAATACAATGCAAACAATGCTATAATAATAGTTGTTAGTACTATAGTATGTGGCAGTTGGCTTTCCCAGATGGAGTAATCCAAGAGAGAGCAACGAGGAAGCCACAGTGACTTTTATGACCTAGTGTCCAAGTCCCACACTGTCGCTCCTGCTTCCTCTATTAGAAGACACTGATTTCCAAAACTGGAGATCTTTAAATGTTCTCATCACAAAGAAATGATAAGTATGTGAGGTGATAGATATGTTAATTGGCTCGATTTAATAATTCCACAATGTACACATTGTAACATCCCACTGTACCTTATAAACATATACAGTTACTATTTGTCAGTTAAAAATAAAATGAAATCAGAAGAAGTCACTAAGTCCAGCCCACTTGCAAGATGAGGAAAATTAGGCCCCATCTCTTGAAAGGAGGAGTAACAAACACGTTATGGATATATTTTAAAACTACCACAGAAGTGATGCTAATGTTTCATTTGAATAAGTGATTTGAATATTTTTGCATCTAGCAGAACTCTGTGATTGCATGTGCTTGCTACTTTCTTTTTGTTGACAATTTTTAAATAATAATTTTTTATTTCCTGATTTAAGAAGTAATAAATATTAATTATAGAACACTTAATAAATATAGAAAATTAGAAAAACATGAATCGCTCATAATTCTACAATCCAGACATAACCACTTTTAGCATGTTTTTGGCAGTCAGCGTGTTTGCATACACAAATATTAGCGTACGCTACCATATATATCAACACACATATATATATCTTTTATAGATATAATAAATATTTCAGAATATATGTGTATATATTCTTATTTTTATATATAAAGAAAGCATCCCTATAATTAAAATTTATTTGGAAACAATTATAATAGCTACATAACATTCTACGAGTAGATATTTTTTCCTTCTTTCATATTTTTTCTATTTTTTGAATGCTTAGACTTTTGATTTCCTACTGTCACAATAAATAATAATATAACAAATATCTTTTAAGTGTTACTATTATTTATTTTGTTGTCTCCCGGTTTCAAATTCACTGTTGCTTGCTCCCTGAAAACGTTTCCTTTGCAGCTTGCACGATGCCAAGCTTTGCCAGCAGAGGGCGCTGGAGAGACACTTCAGGAAGAAGAGGTCTTTGCAGCTTCCTAGGGACTGGCCGACCAGGATCCTGAAAAGCAGGCCTTTTCCCCTGTTGCCCTGCCCACAGTGGTTCTCCCAGGGCCAGTTGCCTGTAGGGTGCAGCTTTCTCCAGCATTTGATGTCCTCTAGTAATTTTTTTTCATTGTGGGGTTTCATTTCTCTATTCAGTATCGCCTTATATCCTTTAATCTGTCACGCTCTGCGGCTGCCAGGCCACCATATGCCTGTCCCCTGTTCTGCTCCTAACCTCCGACCCGTCCCGAGCTCTGAATGCGCCTCTCTGAGAAGGAGAGCACTGCCACAGCGGGTCACAGCTGTGCAAGAAGGAGCAGCACAAGGTCCGAGAGAGAGAACAGGTGTGCAACAGCCAGAGCAGCGGTTAAAGCCCAAAAGAGCAGTACAGAGGGTGAGCAAAGACAAGGGTGCTAGCAATCCTGGGGAACCTCCATGGATTCCCAGGGTGCTGGTCTCCATTCTGATAATTTTGTGTCTGCTAATGAACTCTTTTGCATCATAAACTCTTATTATTCTTAGGTTACCTTCTGAAATTGTAGAATCTAATAATGGCTAAACCCCCCTCCCTCCCTCTCCTCCTCTGCCTCTCCTGTTTTCCCACAGAACGAAGTAAGCAACCTCCTCCTGCCTTCTCATGGGCAGAAAACCATAACAGGCTGGATCAAGTACAAAAGTGATCAAGTTTTCTTACCTCCTGTTGCAAAATAATGTAAAGAGCAAAATCCTGAGGATATTTCATCTGTCAATGGAAAAAAATGAAAAACGTGAATTCTTAGTTGCCATATGATG